AGCAAAGAGTAAAGAAATCTGGCAATAGGTTCAACCCGACTTGAGGTGTGACCATATAACTCTTTGAAAATCGTCCATTTCTAAGCAGTCACTTTCATAGTGTGGTCCTATTGATTCAGTCGAAAATCGCATGGATTTCTTAGAACACGATGATCATCGGGCTGTGGTGAGCATGACGATGCTCAAACAGCTGCCTGAGTTCGCGAAACCTAGCCCGCTTCTCACGGGTCTTCTCCTTACGCATATTGTACAATCTGCAGTGGATGTCGGACGCTAACAGCTTCGACGCTATTGGAACAAAGCTTGTCCCCCAGTGGTTGGCGCAATCATTACGCGTGCTCTTTTTAAAGATGGGAAAAAATAACTACTGGTCGGGTTGGGTGAGTCATGATTTACTTTTTTCGGTCAGGCACCTTTGTTGCAGGTCTTCTAGTTAACCTAAGCGACATTTCGATATCCACAAAATACCCCACATTTAGCATATTATCTAACGTATTGAGCACTTAGTTGGGGCTCGCGCAGAGCAGCGCAGTCAACAGGACTAAGCGACCGAATGTCCCGCAGCTCTTACTTGCGAAACAGCGGGGGTCGGGTGAAATCGGACGACGGGGACATTTTACGGTGAGGAATCAATGGCAGACAGGTGGTCCTCCGTAGATGAGGGTCTACAATAGGCCCGCAAGGCAAAAAGAACAAAAGGTAATGAACCTAAATGGTTTGGAGAAACGTGAACACGGACATATAAATATTCCTGGTGCACGTTACCAAGCCTCACACTACAACTGAAATAAGAATGAACTACATTGGCTCTCTTCTAATCCAGGTCGGATGATGATCCTTAGTTCGTTTGGTCAACAACCGCTCAATACAATCAATTTGATCCTATCCGCAGGAGCAGCTGAACTGATCGACATACAGGAAAATGGGTCGAGAGCGACAACAGATCGTTGAGGATAAGTAGAATAGCCTAATTTGTAATGCAATTGGAATAGATGTGACCATAGGGAATCGGAATCAGTTTCGTACGCGAAGTCGAGAACAGCATTCATAATCATTAGCCGAAATCGCTCATCACCGAGATACACGAAACGGCCACAGAAGTAGCAGTTATTTTATGGGAGAATAAATAATGACCAATTTTAGTAATAGTTATCCACTGAAAATTCCGTAACATAACAGTTCACCGTTCTCGGTTATATTTGGCTCACTCCGCGTGGACTGTTGTTCAATAAGGGTTTTGTGCTCATTAGTAACAGATGGACTTGAGATTTGGTCAGTTCACGTTAGATGTTTGGCGGATAGAAATTAACAACACGGAAGCTAGTTCGTGATGGACAGGATCGAAGTATAAAATTTCACGGTTTGAAGTCTATATATTTTCCGTCAGAAATGGAAAGCAGAGTGATAGCTGAGTTCATCTCAATCGTCCTAAACTCCGAGTTATTTTTGGAGTGTATTTGGATATTCTAATATGTTTATTTACACGTTTCTTTATTCGGTAACTTGTTTGTCAAGCGTACGTGGCTGGACACTACTCACATCTAACCGTGTAAATGAGATTCAATTGGTCCGCTATTGGTCATTTGTCCTTAAGACGGATCAACAGTAAACGAAGGATGTTTGTTGCCCACAATGCGACCCATATATTGAAACAGTTCAATATTCGTTAGAATTCTTCCGATGTATTGCGGCGATAAGGAATGACAGCAGTTGCGATCTAATCTGTCTTTTTGACCACAGGCTGTGGGGAGTTTTTAAAACATTTATAAGTTCTATGTAGAAAACTTGGTGGATAGCCCTTATCGGCCAATTCGCTTGTGACCAGGTGAACTTCTTTGTATTTGTCCTTTTTGTTTGAGATTAACTGGTTCTCTCTGGTTGAAAGGTTGGTCACCACAACCTCCTTCACATTTGCTGAGTGGTTACAGGAGTAGGACAAATACCCGCGTGTTCCCTTTACCTATACGGATATTGAAAAGTTGCCCGAATCACTAAAAGTTACTTGGACGTCTACGAAGTTAATTTTATCTTTCTATTCTTTTGTCAACTTAATGTTATTGTGGATGACGTTGGTGAAAATTGTAAGAGGTTCCACAAAATCCTTTTTAATCACTACAAAGGTACCCTCTACGTATACTCACCAGAATATTGGTGGTCTGGGAGTAGCTCCAAGTATTTTCTGTTCAAGATTTTCCACGAAGATATTTGCGACAATAGATTAGATTAGAGAACCCCTTGCCATTCCATCGGTTTATTGATATAAACACTCGTCATGAGTGAATGGAGTGGACTTCATGCATGTGGAAGTCAAACATAATGATTTCTTTGACATCAAATGTAGGTTTCGGTTTCAATTCTCGTAGTAATTTCATAGTTGTAGTTAGGGTGCTGTTCCTGTGTTAGCGCATTTTCGAAAGATTCCACATCCCGTCTGTTAAGTGAACACGGTTTTTTTGTAGTCCGCTTTGTTCGTGACAACTACTTGGTTGCTATGAACGGTCTTCGCATCCACTATAGTTTTGTCTCTGCACAGAGAATTAACTGCTAAGCGTTTCTCAGGAGCGGTCGTTTTCAGCATTTAGACCAAAAACTACAGGGATTCGAATGCGCTACATTTATCACAGTAACTTCAAATAAATTTATAGTTAGACCAATGGTTTCAAAACTGCTGGATCAATTCGTCAGCAAGCGAATTTCGGAATGATATTCTTTAAGAATAAACAACAAGAAATAAACTACTCATCAGTTTCCTAAAGGCGATTGGAAGCTTTTTAATGCAATCAGAACATATGTAGCAAGATCTGGTAGTTAAATAAATAAATATATTTCCTTTCATTTGAATATAAAAATGTACAGCCAACATTCAGGAAGGAGGACTTCGGCCATACAAAAGCTGCCTTGAAAGACGGGCGGCGATGGAGCGGTCCGAACCCTGGACTCATAGGTCGAAAGTTGGTGACCTAACCACGTGGCCACCACCGTCCTATTGCTTGATGGTTCTTGGAATCGGATGGCGCCATCTTCTCGTGACAAGTATGGGATGAAGCCCAGGCCAAAACACGTCAACAGGAGGGGAGCCCGTATATCCAATACACCTCAGCGCATGATTTGATCGTGTGCGGGGTTGGCTGAAATAAATTGTTATGCTGGTTGATTTTAAACTTTCCAGTGTAGGATAGGACAGAATTTAAAAGGAAAGCCAGCGCAGCTTGGATCGTCAGATTTAACCCTCAGTTATCCTCACACAAGATGACTCAACCGATCCGCTGATTTGTATATTGAGACGCCCTTTGACACATATGCATATACGCACCTCCGGTACCGCTTTGATGTTCGCTCCATTGTGTACGACCATGATTTTACGTATAAACCGATATTCTAAAGTGCATTTGAGACTACCCTTCAACATCTTCACACGCGTATCGATCAAGCCTGTTGTCTAATGCGTCCCCTCATCGACCTATAGTATCACTCGTCATGTGTCAACTGATGTTAATTATTGAATTGCATATATATACATAAAAGTTATAGTATTTTTGACTAAATGTTGACTTCAGTTGAACTTGCCTGATTGGATTTATAATTATATATATAATTAATTATAATTAGTATTTATCATGGTAATTTCTATATTACTACGGGTGTAAGGAGCATTTATATTCATCGATCGCCTGATGATGTGTCGGAGATTAACTCCAAGAAATTCATACCGAACTTTCAATAGCATAATGGATTCCATAACACATTCGCGATTCATCAGGGGTTGATTTTTGGTCGGTCGGATGATACTCCTTTTAGATGGGGCTCCTCCGGCAGGTGGCCAGGGATCAGCCTCGCATGTCACCAAGATTGGTTTGAAGATAGGCTTGTCAAATCTCCCAGACATACTGGCTGCCACCGCCTCGTGAACACAGTGAGGGGATCCAGAGATTGACATCTCATTCGCTCACTTCAGTGATAACATCCTGGCCAATAGAAGACAGTGAGATTTCACCGACAGGAGAATTCCTAAACGACTAGATCCGATCACACTGAACCAAATCTGATAGTAACGGTCATCCGCCCGACAAAGCAGGTACCTGTTGAAAAGGAGTTTGGGACGAAATGCTCTCGTAACAACCTGCGAATTTTCCTTGCTTCACTTCACCAAGAAACCCTGTGTGTGCGATTTCAGTTTGACTTGTGAGACGTAAAAAATACTTGGGTTGTGATCACGGCTCACAGTCAGCGCGCATCCCCATTAGAACCAGTCCGTTTCCTCAGAGGCAAACCGCGTTCTGGAGTGATCGAAATCGATCATCATATCCGGTTCTAATCGGGTCAGAAATCCGAATACATTTGAACAGTTGTAGATTATTTTGCCCAAGTGAAATACACAAGTCATTGATGAAACAGGTCCAGTGGATAGGATATGCTGATTATGGTAGAACGGTAGTGATTATGGTCAGATTATCACAAGAGCAGAAGTGTGTGAGTGTGTGTGTGTGTGTGTGTGCGTGAGGTAAAACAATAATAATTCACAGCACAAGATATGGGTGGAACGGACCACCGACAGGATATCACAACAACTCTTTCTACATGGCTGCACAGGAACAAAACACAACGGTGTGTAAACAATTGCAGATGCGATGTGGATGTGTGTTTGTGTCAATCCCGTGGGGGTGTGAAAGTGAACACATGAGCCACTCAGATAGATAATAAACATGTAACGTTTGCGAGTAAGAGACAGATGGTGAGAGGAGGGGTGGACGGTTGGCGAAAAGAGGAATATGATCACCTAGTGTGGCTGACGGGACCAAAACCGATGAGTCACATTCAGATAAGAATGTAAGTAAGGAATGTACAGCACAAAAACAAATGTTGAACTTTTAGTGGTCAGTGTTGTTTTTGCTTTTTTAGACAAAAGAGATACAGACATAACACCAGGGGATGAGAAAAATCAACCTAAATCACGTGAATGCGTCATGTGTACAAGCAGAGTGGATCCGAGCGGACCGGCGTTAGGCGGCGTAGCGTTCCTGAAATTCGTGATGCCAATGTCCAAAGTCGATGTAGAATACAACCAGGGAACCAGTTTCCAGACCGACTAGGACATAGCTAAAGAGGACAATGGTAAAAACGAGAAGAGAATAAATAATAGAGAGAACACAGATATTCCAGTTGATCACTACCAAATTCAGTTTAGTATTCGATAGGGAACTTAATGATCAAGCCAGATGGACTAGCCAGCGTACTAGCAAAAACAAATACTCCTATAGATACCTATTCAGGCGAAGAGAATTCAGAAAAAGAACGATTTTTATTTGGCTGCAAGATACATGTGATCTAACTCAGCCATGAGAAAAAACTGTTATTGAGGCCACGACTATCTCCTCCATCAACACATGGTCAATATCGCAATTTTATTCATATATATATATATATATATATACATAACTTACTGTTGATCACTTGACAGTGCCAACGAACGCACAGGAGCATCACACCGAGGAAAGTCGTGCACCGGGGCCAGGTTGTGACAACGCAACACCCAGACAACTCCATCGGAACCGGCTATCAGAAGATAACGACCACAAGCACTGAAAAGAACTGCTGTGATTCGATATGTACTAGTAGCCGCAAGGCGTCGAAGATCACTGGAGTGGATTATTTTGCCATTTAAGGTAGACAGGGTCAGTTGTGTGGGACCTTGCTGTGTGACCAGATAGCCTTCACGATGATAGAGCACAAAGTGGACAGGTCCGAACATCGAAGTTACAGGCCGCAGGTCCTGCTCTCCATTCACACTAACGTCCACTGGATGCAGGTTGTCCGTCGGGTTCACTGTGGACAACTGGCGAAGCAATGTGCCTCGGGTGTTATGCAACAGACACGTACCGCCTGAAACCAAAATACCGGAACAATACGAGTAGTGAAAGAGTTGAATGAAAAAGCAACATTGTTTCAAGTTGATTCAAAAGAAATTGTCCGAAATTCCGTCTATGAGATTCAGACAGATATGCCAAAAAGCAGTGTCGGTTCAAAAAAGACCGTGTTTGGTTGAATTAACATCTAACTACAGTGAATGAATTGGTGCCCTACGATGTTCCAGTGACCCACCATATGATTAATGGTGCTCTGTACGTAAGAAAACATTGACAAGCTAATCTGATTGTTAGTAACCAATATTGTTGTTATCCTTTGGCAACATGACAGATTTTTTAAAATGAAATAAACACGCCTTTCATTAAGATACTACAATGAAAGCCATGGATCATGTCCACCCCATTTTTCACGGCTAAAGTGCAGAGGATTCTTTTTAATGCACTGTGCTACAACAGGTATTGAAAATCGTATTTAACTCCCTCCGTGACGATTTGGGTTCAATGATTGGTTTTCCACGATATGTGATAAAAGAAGAAATGAACATGAGATGAGGGAAGGGGGTAGGTCGAAGTCACTGATATGTACAGGTTCGAGGCTTGTGCTATCATTTGCACCACACTTTAATGGTGAAAAGCCATCTCCTCGGACCATTTTACGTCACCCAGAGTTTCCTCTAAGGCTTTTTGTTGCCATCCACTTGAGGCCCATGGATTTTTTCGGCATACATACCCAAATAGTGAGTGCGTCTCTGAGTCTATCGTGCTGTCTATACATCGTACGTCACACTAGTGTTAACTAATGTGATGTTTTTACATCTACGTACCGCTTCGAAGAGAGCAGTAATTGAGTGGCATAAGTTATCGAGGTGAATACCAAAGTGCATTGAAAATTTCCAACTGCGCGTATCAGCCTTTTACACTGAATGGGGCTTGACGTGATTGGATTGCGAAAGTAAGAGTATGAGATCAATTTATTCGATTCAAAGAAAACAACACATGTATTGCTGCAAAAAAACTAGAGCGCACAGATTTTTGTGGGCCACGTTAATCGGTTCTATCAAATTGTAACCAGAACAAAAGGGATTCATAACGAAAAATGCAGATTGTGTTCTGATAGGCTTAATCACAACGTAACTTTATTCAAATTGCCCGATGAATTTCCAGCATAACTTTGAACTCTCCACGTTTGTAATTAATCTATTCCGGCAAAATCTATGTTCACTAGAAGAAGTAAGACAAACTAAATTTGGGGAACATTTTAGAGCAACGGAAACCAAAAAGAGTGGCTAAGGTAAAAGGGGAAGGAGAATGAGCCAACAGGAACGTACCTTTAGATCCACTCAAAACCAGACCTAGCTCAGAGGAGATACTGACGGCCGTCACCTCAGCCTCGTGTCCTATCAGTGTTACCAACGGTGAAGCAGACTCAGCCACTGCGTTTTTCCGGTGGTCAAGGGGAGAAGGCAACAGAGGAGAGTGTCAAAGAGCACCAATACACAATGGACGCATCATCGCATGTTTGAGATCTCGATGGAGACAAATGAGGAAAAAATAAAACTGGTTGGTGGGTGCGCTTTTTGATCTTACCCGACCAGTTTACGAGCATCTATGGCAAAGTGTAATACAATGAAATATGACAGAACATCGTGATAGTCTTCAGGGGCCGTCATAGCATCTTTAATGTAACTTTTGTACAAACAAATTTGAGTACCGTAAAATTCAGTTCACATTTACTAACAAGTAGCAGTTTCGGCTATGTTTCCGTTGATTTTCGAATGACCATCCGTTAGGCTCCGTTCTCACGACCATTTCTCAGTTTGTCCAGTTCACTCTACACCCGGGAAGCACCAGACTCGAAGTCTGAAGCACAATCCATGTAAATAAGAACCCACTTCACACTGTCATTCGCAAATGACTGTAGACTAAAAATTGAAATTGAAAGTATGGTCTAGCGGGTTCGATTGAGGAACCTATGTGGAAGACCAGATTTGAGGCCATGTTTTCGACTGGAGTTATCATCTGGATAGCTGTCTTCACATGTTGCTATCGCAGTAACCACCAGTAAAGAGGATATTTAGACACATTTGTATCAACGTTCCCCGCCTGTCTCGGTTAGCAGACACATACAGACACACATACATACATACATGCTTTCCAATCGGAAGTCCAGGGGTTCACAACTTATCCAGGCCGAAAGATATGTTCCAGTTCTGGGCGCTAATGAGAGCGAAAATTTCAGTTCGTTCTTTCTTTTACGGTAGACTGACTGAACTGAGGACTGCATCTGTAGATGAAATGCAAGGGATTATCAATAAAACCCCAAATGTGAACTATGTTTCCGTATGGATGAGGCTTTCATTGGGACTGATGAACGTTCATCGTAGATTCGCAATAGATTGTATCCAATTACATGTCTTAAACGTGAGACAGGTTTATATCCTTAGTGTGCCTGAACAATGAACGTCATATATGACAANGACAACTGGAGGAACGGTTCATTGAGCGTACAATATAGCAGTAGTGGTCAGGGAAACGCATCCTTATTTTGACATATGCTTGGACTGCGCCCTTAACCAGCTTTTAATAATCATTGAGACACATGAGGGTATTTGATTCGATTATAAGGTGTGCTAATCAAGAGTGAGCTGAAAAGCAGGGAAATCCTGTACAACTGTTTCGATCATATTAGGTCTTATCAGTAGTGTGAAACAATCGACCCGAATGAGGATCGAACCCGGGACCTCACAGATAGCGTACAAGCACACTATCCACGTGTTGTAGCCTAATCCTGACTGACACGTTTGTTATAAATACCAATGATCTGATCTGATTGATTGATCGATGCTACCGGCCCCGCACACAGACACCATACGAACTTACCATGCAACAATGACGATCCGCTCTAGACAATCAAATTTTAGTGTTGAATTATCCGCACAGATTGGTTCATTCATCGCCCAGGTTGACGGCACTCTGCGCTCTAGAAACGCTTGCGCCGGAAGGTGATCTGCTACTTGCTCACATATCCTTGGACCGGCTGCAATTGTCTAATTCACTACGGGCTTATTTACCCATCCAAACGAAACAATAGCACGTGACTAGCGTTGAGCCGACTAGACCGTTTTTCATTTTGTTTTGGGGCGAACTGCAACAAGTCGGGACGTATACCGAAAAGATGAAAAAGCATCGACGCTTCGTTACACTTTTTAACCGTCAAGATGTACGGCGTAGAGTCAGCTTATGACAGGAAACCAGTCAAACAATGAGTGCTTAGCTTTCCCATTTAGCGCTATCTCACCGCCGAAAAAGAAACACGAAAACCAGACACACTTGGACAGCGAAGCTCGAGTGTGAGATCGAGTTCGAAGAAAATTGAAGGGAAGTCTGAAGTGTGTTAAGGGAGAAAATAAACGTTCCCTTCGGATGGTAAAATTATTTCAGTTAAAGCAGCTTACTGGTCGATGACTGAGTATGCGGATATTGAATGAGATAAAGAGAAAAGATTTTGGCTACATCAATACGACAATTTCTGGCTGTCTGACCTCACCACTTAAACTCCAAGTATGACAGCCTGAGTGAAAGGGAACCAAACAGATGTGACAAAGAGTTGGCCAAATGGGTCTCCGAAACTTTAGGACATGTCATTATTCGAGTTAGCTCAAGCCGGCGAAGGGTTTATTATGATTAGTAGGGAACCCTGACCGGGGTCTTGTAAACGGAAGCTGCTCAGCTTCGGTAGGTGACAGTTGTCCTGTGAAATACGAAGAGTTCTCCCACCGTCGAGAAGAGGTTCCACTAACTAACACATCTTCTTAACGGGTTGATTTTCAAGCAGAGAGGTTCATCTTCGTGATTATTTGCTAGTGTCACATCAGAAAAGTCGAAAGCACATGATCGAAGGCGAAACAAAGTGATGCAGACTCAGTTGGACTTGTGAGGCTGATCTTTATCTGACTCCAAACACAACAACCTTTCACGTTTGACTGAATGTTCGACTGGGAGAAACTTGTGTTTGGTTCATTGAGGTGTCAAGGCGGCCTCGCTGTGATGGACAACAAACAAAACAAAATGTTCTTCCATCTATTTTCTTCATCTGTTGATTGTCTATAGTTGCTTTTTTGTGCCTGATATCAGAATATATATATATATATTCATATATTATTGTGATAAATATACACCTCCTCGGTACAAGTATATGAATGAAATGATATATGCATATATCGGCATAGAGATAAATATTGCTGACCTGAATGCAATGCATAAAAGGTACATGCATAAACATAATCCTCGGAACTCACCATGATTACCCAGAACCAACATACGTCGAGTGTTGTAAATCCATAACTTCACAGTACAGTCACCACTGCCTGAGGCCAGATAGCAGTAGTTAGCCGATTGTGATCCAGAATGGGCCAGGCACGTGACAATGCCATAGTGTCCAAACACGGCCTGAATCAGGCGACCTTAGATGAAAAGTAGGAGGTGGAACGGACGGAAAATGAGGAGTATCCGTTTTATAATTGGTCGGTGTCAAGAAAATCTGAAAGTAGTACTGACCACAATGGTTTTTGTATCTACACAATTCCGGGGGAGTGATACACGCTGATGGCAGCACGAGTTCGGTCGCAGGAAAAAATCACATCCGATCCTGGGTATTCGTGTGGGCGCACTGTTTATTCTATTCTCGAGGATTAAGCTTCTTCTATTTCAAACGAAACAACAGAGTGCCGAACAAGCTCGTTTTCAGAGATTCGTATTCATGCCAATACATCTCAATATATATCACTACTTGGGAATAAAATTGTCATGGGAAAATAAAATAAAATAAAATCTTAGATTACTAGAAAGGATTTCATCGTGAGACCGGGAATCGGGTTCACCACGATCACATCCGATCGTCGAGATTACTCGCGATGCGGTGTGTGTGGGGTGGGTCAGGGAAACTTTAGCGCTTGCACAAATTATTTATGGGTATACAGAGAGAGGTTGTGCAGGCGAATGCCCACCGCTTCTGCCGTAGCCAACATCCAACATCTCGATAATGGCCCATGAACTTTATACAGAGGTTTAAAAGCCTCGGGCACATCCATAGTGTGATTTGTTTCAGCTGGATGTGAAACCATTGCACTGGTAAGTGACCCAACCGTTCCGGTGTTCAGCCACGCAGGATGGTGTTCGGGAATCCATTCGGAAAATCGTCTGACCGTGAGGCCTACGTAGGTTGTTCCACAGGAACAGGTAAATGAACATACACAGAACGAGACCGCAGAGTCTGGAACTTTGTCCTTCAGTCGCAAGCACTGACTTGGATGTGAACGACACACGAAGCTTGGATGCATAGAAACTCTTATCGATTGCATCGAATGATCTTCTTTGTATGAGCTCAGTTGATGTGTCCGTTTTGAACGCCAAAGAAAGGTATACGGATTTTTTTCTTAACCTCGGTGTTTTGTAAAGAGTTTTCCGTGCACTGAACCACCTTGTTGACTAAACGCTCCGGATACCCATTACGTGCAAAAATCGATTTTATAGTACGGAGCTCTTCATCAAGCGTGTCCTCACTAAAGATCGTTCTTGCCCTATCCGCTAGACAACGAACCAGGTTCCTTTTTACCTTCAGTGGCACAAAGCTTCGACAATGAATGTATTGCTCTTTCAAAGTTGCCTTATGCACAGAACGCTGCACCGAACCATCTGATCGATGGGTGATGCAGACATCTAGCAACGGCAATTTGTTGTTACACTACATTTCTAAAGTAAATGTTACGTTGAGATACACATTGTTGAACCTGTTTAATAGTTCTGTTGTGTTCGATGTTGCACTGATCCCACAATAAATGTCATTTACGTACGGTGTGTATAGTACACAGTCTTCGATGGCTGATTGTAATTGAGTGTTTTCAAGCTTCGCCATGAGTAAATCCGCGAAAAGCGGTCCAAGCGGAGACCCCATGACCACGCCATCTTTTTGTCGATAGATATAATCATTAAACTTGAACTGAGCATTATACGTGCAGAAATAAAGCAGTTACCTAGGGTCATCCAAATGGAGGCCGAGCTCTACATTATTGGTTTGTAAATAAATAAAGGTATTCAATCCTCTCGCTGATGGGCATATTTGTGATCAACGAGCCGGCGTCCAGCGAAAGCATTGTTCGATCGACCAAGTTTATGTCACGCATTTTATTCACAAAAGTAAATGTACCTCTGATACTGTGTTTTTACAAACTAACTCGAACGGGTTCTAAGAATTTGGCCAATCACTTTGCCAGGGCATGATATGGTTAGTTGCACATATCCAAAATCGGTCTATTTTTTTCTATAACACACCTAAGTGTGATACATAACGGACGGGGGTAAGCCCCATAGTCACGAGGACCTGCTGCTCAGCGGTGGAAACCGGCAACCTAAGCCCCGGGACTTGCAGTGGCGAAACACATTAGGCCCCGATAGGTACTGTTTAAGCAAAATCAATTCTACTGGCAGTAAAGTGAAGATGATAAACCAATATAACAGCGGCGTCATTGCTAATATTTTGCTGGTGAGACCAGAACCCTAGACCTAACAGTAAGGCTGGGATAATGCGAAACTAAGGCGGATTTGAGTGGCCTCTCAGTTTTCGAAAGTAGCCCCCGTTGTGTCTTGCGTTTCACAAGAACCAAAGTAAAATTGCCAGAGGTACAATCATTTCTTTAAAAAGAGAAATTCATAGACAAAGCAACCGGATATGATTTGTATGTAAATCTTTTTACCTTTTAAATGCGGTGGAAATGTTTGTGATACCTGACTAAGAGTACTGGAAATCTTTTTCGTCCTGTTTTGAGGCTCGTCAGCAGTACGTACCTTTTAGTGTCCCTGTTGGGACTCGAACCGCGAACATTTGGGTCGGAACTTAAAAACCCTACAACGTCGACGGTCATCAGCTGGTGCGAACGGCTCAATCACTTTTAGATGGTAAATGTTTGGATTAACCCATTTGGGTTTTCACAGGCACCAGGAATTGTTGATGCCGTTCGTTGTGGGTTTCACTCCTTGGGAGATCGTCAATTCCCCGCTATATAAGAAGGCATTTTAAATGCGGTTCAAAATACTTTGATGGAAGAAACGATGAAGAACTATGTGATTTTAATCGGAATACGTTTTGCACAACTTCATCTACTGCGCTGAGAAATGGTGACAAAATTAGACCTTCATTCACCCAGACAGGGGTTTCATTATAGGGCCTTGGTAATGAGGAGCGGTAAATTACATAAATTACACCTTACTACTCATAAGTAGACACATTTAAAACTATCAAACTTACCGGTGTCCACAGCAAACACACGAAATGACCAGTCATCATAGCCACATGCGATTAGAGCACGATTGTCTCCAGGACAAGTGAATTGATTGCTACAAGTGATCAAGCTCTGATCAAAATCATCACCCAAAATGTGCAAACTAGTGGTCGAATTACCTGTGGTTGGTGAAAAAAAGGGTTGAAAGCGAAACAGAAGTTAAATGCAATCAGGCTTTTGCGAACATGTTCCGGCTGTATGAATCCAGTTTCGATAAAATTAAAGCTAATGCACAACAAACGGACTAATGAGAGAAACTCAATCCTCAAATAGCTCATAGATTTCATCAACTAAAAGAAGTATTTCACAATTTGACAGACTAGTGGTAACCAGGCAGTAACGTCACCAAATTATAACCCCGGGAATGTGTGTTCGAATCCCACTACCACGACCTAACTATCGCCATTGTGTGTTGAAGGGCAGCCCATTGATTAACCGCTTCCCCCTTCCTGAAAATGGTACCTTCGCATATTAAATAAAAACAAGTAAAATTAAAAGAAAGATTATACAAAAGGTGATTCGATACAACTATACACCGTTTGACAGTGTTCAGTTCACAGAATCGATTACGTTGATTATACGAAAAAATAAATAAATTGAGTTGTTGTCTTTGTAAATTAGGTAAGGAACTCAGAAAAACATTATTCATGGTTCTAAAGCTGAGGAAATAACACTTTGCTTTCTGTTTCTCAGGGAATAAAAATACAATGGAAAGAAAAATCACATTCATCCAAGGACAGTTTCGGTGAAAATTGCACCAATGTGGAAAGAATTTAAGAGAAAAATACGCTGCTCACTACAATTACATCCAATCATTCTAACCATAGTTCATTAGTCACACTAAGAATGCTTGGGATGGTTGCATAGGTTTTAGCAAATAATGAGTATTGGGTCTACTTACCGGCACCACCTGAAGAGATGGTAGTCGAACTGAGGGGATACGCAGAAGATACTGATTCTTTGCTTGCCATGGATTCCCGACGTACAGGAGCGGTAGGTAAAGGCGATCGTCCACTAGTAAGATTATGAGAACCCGAAACCGATCTTGATTGGCTTAATTTTTCCACCGGTCTCGAGTCCTCTTCAGGCTTTGAGGTTGCGGTCGNTCGCATCAACAGTGTCGCTGATTTCATTGGTGGCCTGCGGTTGCTGTTGCTGCTGCTCATAGGTAGACTCACTGGGGCCAGCAGGCACAACCGTTGTCTCCGGGATTCTTTCAGACAATCCGGTCTGTGAAGCAGGATGAATCAGTGCTGTTCACAAGGGATTCGGATTGAAAGTCAGGGGCAAATCATTATTGAGGAATTCCAGGCAAATTAATCAAGCGGGATAGTTTTTTGAATACACCGAAGACGATGAAAAATGCTTTCTGATCAGAAAAGACTAAAGTTGACATCACAAGAACGTGAAGACAATAATGTTGGGTGGTGATTAGAACAAGCAGTTGGTAGGACTAATGCCTCTTTTTCCGAGTTATAGTTATAGACTGTACTTGGACGTGCGAGGGTTACAGGTGTAACCTCAACTGACAGGGAGCTGCGTGTAATCCTTTTCCAGAGGATCTCTCTGGGTCCTCATGATTCCCTAGAGGGAGGCCATCGCTTGAAATTGGGAAATTCAAATACGATCTAAAATATCATCCATAATCTCATCGTTCCTGACCGATAACTCCGTGCAAAAACAACAGAGGCCTTAGAGTGACGAAGATTAGGAGGCGTGGACCGGATAGTCAGCAAGACCTATGCTCTGGTTATGAAAAATGACTAAACTCCTGGAACTTGGTGTAGTGCATTACATAAGGCCCCATGACGATAAGTGTCATGTGCGTCCGGACGACGGTGAATCTGTCTGTCCTCATGCTTGTGTGCTAACAAAAGCATGACACCGATTAGGCGGAATTCATCCAGAGGATAACGAAAACGAAGTAGTTACAACTTTTAGTGATGTCAAAAGTTCACTACTAGACCCGTGATGAAATGCGATTGATGGCAGGTTGTGGAAATCCTAGAAAAATTGGATCATTAGTGCTTCCAAAGATTAACGAAAATAACACAGAGAACAACTGCCGGACGATGAGGTTTGTAAGCAGTGTTGCTATATTCGGCGATTGTCAGTCATCATAAAGTGTCGGTTACGTCGAACGGCATAGATCAGATGAACTCTCGAACGTCTGTTCTATCCCAACGCCATGTTAACTTTGACACCATCGTACAGCAAGCCAGATGAAAATGTGGCTTAGTAATATCAAGATGGCTTTTGAACTAGTGGGACTTCACAGAAACGACAGCTCATGCCACGGGCCCCAAATAAATCGTCTTCTACTCGGATAGCCCCACCAATGGTAAGTAAAAGGCATTCACAATTCGTGTCAGCTATGAAGCCGGCTGATTCTCGCTTAAAGCATGGCCGCATGAAGGTATGAAGGTAGATAAGTATAAGCGACTAGTCGGGCAGTTCACTTGTTGCCTCCTGTGTCTAGGATTGAGTCCCTCCTCCCTTCCACGCCGACTTTCAACAAACTTAAAGTGTTCACTGATTAGCACTACTGACTTATTGTGGCCTCGAGTGGCTTTCAAGCCAAATCAATGCTCTGCTCAACCCAGAGATAAATATCCAGCAATGCGTCCGAGAACTTGATCATCAATAATAACATAAACGATCGCTGTGACTGTAGTGTTCGCGCCCTCCACTAATTACCAACAAAAATGCATACCAGAGTCGAAGAAAGGGTTCCCAGACTGAATACCGATAATCAGACTTATGGAGAGACCTCGGAAATGTTTTGAGACATAAAATCATCATCCACTAAAAGATTAGACTCCCCATGGATTCTGTTGTTCCAAGTAATCAAATTTATGTAAAACGGTGCTTTTGACGTACCTGATTGATATGCAGAATCTGGAATGAAAAATGCAACAGCAGAATATGTGAAAAACGATTTGGGGGATGTGTTTTTGTTTGCTTATCTACGTAATGTATATTTCATGCTAGTAAGGCGTGCGTTAAGAACTGGGGAATCCGAGAAACTCCGCAATACCCAGATCAATCTTTCACTGCATTGTTTGCGAAGGCCAGGTCAAGTTTTGGGGATGTCCATTCAGTGGATACTGCTGGTACTACTATGCGCCCCGTGTGAGCGCGGATAGAAGGAGTGTCGTGAATCCCAGGCTGAGGCAAGAAGAGGAATGAGGAACCTAACAGAAGCTCAATTTAAGGCGTAGGTCAGTCTTGGATTTCAGGTAAACGGTAGTCTGATACAGCTGTACAAACACTCCTGGTCTCCTCACACCCTAATGAAACTCGACAAAAAGGCAAGGAAATCATTCAGATAAACGCTCATCCTTCATTACCACTTTTGGTACTAGATTAGTCTCCTCCCGTAACGAATCTTGTACCATCTTGTATTGCATCACACAGCTGATCAGCAGATGGTGCATTGCAAGAAGTTCAAACACAATGATGATTGGGTTTTATAACAAACAGTGTAAATGGGAGACGATTCGCTAAATCATTTCAAACAAATAGCATGTTGGGTTAAAAAAAGACTGCATACCAAACAAAATTAGAGTACGAAAATTTTCAGAATAAATATCTATGCATAAGTTGCTAATGGGTGAAATACCTCGGGGTTGTTCTCACCGAAGCAGGCGAAACTCGATGGAGCGTTCATAACCCTACCTTAGGCGTGGGGAGGTGTAGGAAAACGGTAAGTCATTGGGGCAAGTGTCCACTTAATCGGAAAATACGCCCTTTTGACGGGGTCAAAGATCCAAAGTGGTCAATACGCCTTGTTGCTCAATCTAGCCGATGACCACTATCATAACCAGGAAAGCGTATGCGATCCGTGGCCGGTTTGGGATAAGGCTGTCCTACTAAATTCTTAAGTAAACTTACACTGGTTCATTAACCCAGTTGTATTCGCGAATTTTGGGTTTTTCTTTTCTCACTTTGGTGGTAAAACATCTCCGTCAAATGAAGGCAATGAAGACAGGTAGAAAATACCTTTCAGATAAAACTATTTAAGATACATGGGCACTTCGCGAGATGCAACGTAAGGGTAAAGAGAGACCCAACCCCACCACAGTGGGGTTTTTAATTAGAAAACTTTAGAATTGATCTAGATATGCATTGCCAATGATGTCAACAAGGAATCCTACCACTACATCAAGAGCAGAACTCCAAAGCACAGATACACCTTACCTGCAGCAGCACAATTCCACCGACTGAGTACTAAAGTCCGATTGGCCGTGACGGAAACCACGCCGGGTTGGGGAATCGTGGACGGTGCGGTGTACGCGGCCAAGAAGACAACGGGTGAGTTTGAATAGAACTTGTGTACCATGCATACTTCTTCACGAAGTGGGCTGAACATGAGCGGGTTCAAATGAAGTGCCGAATTTCGATGTGGATGGGGGGTATGAAGCAATTGGGCCGGTGTTTGTCCAAAACTTTGAATTTGATCCTCTACCGCTTTGATCAGCACTGGATCCGATAACTGAAAAGTGAGCCAAAGGAAACGGCGGTGGCGGGGTAAGGTTAGTAGGAACGAATGAGGAGTCAAAATGTTGGAGGAGAGAAATAAAGATAAAACAATAAAGATTGCCTTCTGAATGAATTTCATCAAAGAAAAAATTTGAAAAAATATGAATCGGTGATTAAGGTCTGCCCGGAAGGGCACAGACACCATAGCGGTAATCCAGGCAAGCAATGCAAGCGTTCCGAAGAAATGAAAATCGTCATCTGTTAGAAGTGCGGACAGGTATGGCTCGTAGAAGAAATGTTGTGGTGTCCGGCTGTCGAATTTCAGAACCCCATTTCAAACAGCCAAAGAACATCCAAAATTACACTGTGAAAAGAGGAAAATGCTTTCGTCCCATTCGAAACTTCCTCTCTCTCATGCTCCATGATCAAGTCAAGTCAAGTCAAGGAATGGCTTTATACACCTCGAGAGG